ACAAGAATAGGAAAATCCTAAGACATTGTGACGTGGCCTTTGATGAAAATTTCATGTACAAGGACAAAGAGAAGATAAATTTCGAGATTACGAAGCAAGTGGGAGTTTAGCTTGAGTTGCAGGAAGACTTACCCAGTGATGTTACAACAGAAGCTCAAGAATCTCCTGAGACTGTTGCTGAAGAACCAAACGTGGAGCAAGTTACATTAAGTAGGTGTTGAGGTGATCATCCAGAACTATCAGAGCACGATATAGCTATTCACTTTCATTACATTATACTCTAATGACTAACGAAGGAAAACCAGAGTCATTTGATGAGGCCCTACAGATAGAAGATTTAACCACGTGGGAGCAAGTCATGGATGATGAGATGAGCTCACTTGAAAAGAATAATACATGAGTGTTGACTGAGTTACCAACAGGAAAGAGAACTATGTTTAACAAATGGGTGTTCAGAACCAAGGCTGGATTAGATGACAAAAGGAGGTTCAAGACTTGGTTAGAAGTTAAAAAATATTCACTAAGGAAAGACATTGAATTATGCTGAAATCTTTTATCCTGTTGGGAAATTAGCTACTATCCGAATTTTATTGAGTCTTGTTGTATTGGAGAATTTGTACCTTGAGAAAATGGATGTAAAAACAACATTTTTAAATAGAGATTTAGATGAGGAGATCTATATGCAACAACCAGAAGGATTTGCATCTCCAGACAAGGAACACATAGTGTGTAAGCTGAATAAGAGCTTGTATGAATTGAAACAAGCACTGAGACAATAGTACAAGAAGTTTGACTTCTTCATGTGCAAGAGTGGTTTCCACAGGAGTGAAAAGAATCAGTGTTGTTATCTCAAGAAATACACTAATTCTTATGTTTTTCTACTTCTAGTGAATGATATACTGATTGTTGGATCAAGTATGAGGGCAAGCATGTCTTCATTATTTGAGATAAAAGATTTGGGTACAGCGAAGAAGATTCTTGGGATGAGGATTTCTCGAGATAGATCTGCTGGGATTAAATCTATCCCAAGAGCAATACATTGAGAAGGTGTTGTCCAAACTTAGGATGAATGATGTTAAACTCAGGACTACCCCTTTGGAAAATCATATTAAATGATCAAAGGGGTAATCTCCCAAGACAGTTGTGGAACGTGAGCACATGGCATCAGTTTCGTACACTTCTGCAATTGGGAGTTTGATATATGTTATGGTCTACACTAAACTTGATATAACACATGTAGTGAGAGAATTGTTATGTCATAGAGCCTGCTACATATTTATAGCTTAGCCACCTAGTAAATGACTTATAAAATAAATTATATCTATTTTCTTTTAAATAAGTGTTTATACATATCCGAAATATCAGAAAGTTATGCATTAATAATTTTAAAATGAATTTAGAATAGAAGAACTAAAGAGTTTAAATTATACCATTATTAGTTTGAATATATATATATATAAAAGTCGGAAGAATTGACGAGGAAGGGGTGACATTATACGACGTCGTTTGGGTAAGAGACCATCGTTAGTAGTATTGGGCTCATTGAAGAGCCCAACACGTAAGACGTCATGGGCTTTTGTTAAACTCAGCCCAATGTTCAAAGTTCTTGTTAAAAAGGTACCTTTAAAACCTAATTTCATTAAAAAGTTGAAATTTCAAATTAAATAAATTAGGGTTGTAATTATAAGTAATTATTGTAAGATTGAATAAATCAAAAGGTTAATTTTTATTATTTTCAACCTAGGTACTATCATAAATTCATTAGATTGCCAAATTACTCTTCAAACTAAAATTTACTTTTTATCTTATCATGTTTTATTTTTAAATATGAAATTAAAATAATTTTATTAAATAACTTATGTCAAATATGACTTTATTTATAAATATTAAAATTAAAATCGAAAATAAATATAACAAAAATATTAATTTTCTATTGTAACTAATAAAATATATAAATTGATTAATAAAACTATATAGTACACGTGTAATGCATGCTATTTGGAAAATGCATGTTGAAATATATTACCACAACTCTTTTAATTCTTTTTAATTATATAATTTTATAATATATTTATTTAATATAATTGACTCCAATATTTTATTTTTGTTATAATTATTAGGATTTATTACCAAAAAAAACTCAAATACATTAATTAAAATTTAATTAGTTAATTTTATTTTAAAAATATTGAATCATGTAATAAAATGGTTGAAAATATTTTATTTATTTAAATTAATTTAATTATTTATTCTCACAACAATTGGATATCAGTAGTAGTAGTCCTGACATGACTTGAAAACGTGACTACCAATCCATTTTTTTTTTTTTTTAATTTAGGTTTGAGATATTTTTTTTAAAAAAAAAATTGTATTAGTTTGTGAGTTGATAATTTTTTATGATTTTAGCCCGATCAACTTAAACCTAACCTAATTCTACCTTACTTGTAACCGATGTTAGTGATGCATTATAACTTGTGAACATAATATTTGAGTTTTATGAGATTTTAGTTATTAATATAATATTTATAGTGAACAAGTCTCGACATGCCAACTTAATTCAATGTGAAAATAGAAAGTTGGGTCAAATCATGAAATTTATTCAAATGGTTCGAGTCACTAACCCAACCAAACAAACATTTTAAGTTCAAAAATCAATTAGACACAGGTTTTGAATTAGTGTGTCATATGTGGTTGGTGCGACAAAATGATGACTTTTTGGAAGAAAAATAAGGATAATGTGGTAGGTGGTTGTAGAAAAAGACAGAAAGTAATGTCCAGATGGTGGCTTTGGACACGTGGGCATGGAGATGAGGCCACGTGGGCCAACGGTTTTGACAGCTTTATTTGGTCAAATGAGCTGAATGAAACCGTTGGTTTTGACGTTCAAACGTAAACATAACCGTCAAATGTGTCGGTGAGGTGGGTGCAACGGCCTACCCCTGTCGGCCAATCCCACACCGTATGATTCAATTTTCTCGTTTCCTCCCCGCCTTCATCGCCGTCCGATGCTCACTACACTTTATTTAACAAAAATTTTATAAAGACATAAATGTTTGAATTCTAAACATAACCTTAAATAAATTATTTTATTTAATGTATCTTTAAATTTTAATAATTTCTTATTTAATGAGGACTAGCATCATGTCATATTTTTCTTAATATATGTCTACTGTCAATTATATTAAAATTATTGATAATTATAACGTGTCAAATATATTTATTTTTTATATTAACTACGTATCATTTTAGATATAACTTTGACACACGGAAAGAAATAATAAGTTTTCAACTTAAATCAATTTTATGTATAAGTTAAATTAAATTATGAATCAACGTAATATTTGGTAGTTACTATTTATAAATTTATTAAATATTTATAAATTTACTAAAGACTTTTTTAAAATGGAAATAAGTATAATAAGGAAAAAACAAAATATTCATTATTTCTTTTGGCACTTACTTGGATATTATTTCCATGAAACTTACAACACCCAAAACGACGTTGTTTTAATGTGTTTCATATGTTTAAAATATATATATATAGAAAACATTAGTTTTTTAGTTGTATCATTTATTATTATTATTATTTTATATTTTATTATTTGACAAGCTGGAATTTGGCATGACCCGTTGAATTTCCACCTCGAAGCCTTTGGACACGTCAGCTCACACCTATGATTCAGAAGCGGACAAAAAATCGTCGAAAAGGAGATTGTGTCTGACACGTGGAAGGTGACTGTACAAAAAAGATCGAGGCGGGGCCCAGCTAGAGAATTATATTGTTGTGCCAATAGCATGTGCCACGTGTAACGACAAAATTGAATGATAAGATGTCCCATCCTGGCTTTGACTATAAACAGTAAATTGTTCTCTCTCTTTCAAACTCTTCCACGCGCTTCTAGAAATTGAAGTGCACGTGCTATACGGAACTGCTTAATAATAATAATAATAATAATAATAATAATAATAATAATAATAATAATAATATCATTAGCTCTATGGCGAGCGTCATCCAGCTCACATTCAATTCTTTCAAACCACCCAACGCTATTGCTTGATTCTATCATGTTCAAGATATTTCATTTTTTAGGGTGGTGTATTGTTCTTCATTTTTGTATGTCATTGTAATCTTATTTTATCTTAGTTCGCTATGGTGGGTTGTTCAATGTCTTCAGCTTCAATGCTTTGGATTAGTGTCAATACCATGAGAGACGTCATCCTCTATTTGTGCCTTCACCTCCAATTGCCACATCATAGATCGGAAAAAAGTTTTAGGGTGGCCGCCACAAAAGGTTAAGCACATTATTATGGACATTGTCATGGTACTTCCTGCGCACAGTTAAAACTTAGACCAGAGAAGATAACAAGAAATCGAGTGGTTGATGTGTTGAGGCTGACAATCGTAAAAAAACTCAATGATTTTTTATTCTTGGACAGTTCAACGATTCAACATCTTTTCCATTATTCTAACGTATTTCGAGTTTATTCAAGTTTGCTTTGTCTCAATTGAAGCTAGTATAGCTTGATTTAGTATAACTGAGGTCGATTTGGGTTTGATTTAGCCAAGTTTGGTGCAATTTTGTATATTCTTTCGGTTCTTTGTATCTTTATATTAGTCTTCGTTCCGTCTTGACTCATTTATTGGTCATTTCAAGAATTAGAATAATTATTTGTATAATTAAGAAAACTTAAATGGGCATTAATTATGCCATTAGGACACAAACTTGTTTATTTATGGAAAATGGTTAAATAAGTAAATATATTTTTTAAAATTATAAAAAAGAATATTAATAAAAACTAAAAATGATTTTAATTATACTTGAACCATTTAAATATTATTAATTCACCCCCAAAGCGCGTGCAATACACGGGCAGTTATTTTTCATATTTGGAAATGAATTGTTGTCTCAGGATAAAAATAATATAATTTTATTTAAAAAAAAAAAAACAATAAATACCAAATCAGGGTTCTGCCGTTTTCATTTCGCGTTAACAATCCCAACTGCCACATCACATTTGAACATCCAAGTTGGCTTTCCTTCCGCCGTTGCTTATAAAATCTAACTCGTTAAGAGTATCGAAAATCGCGCTCTCCAATTCCCATTGCATATCTCCTCCCCCAAATCTCTCCTCTTAACAATCTCGCCGCGTCTTCTTCTCTTACTCGGATTCCTCTTTTTCCTCCGCCGCGGACATTCTTGGTGAGTCTCTCTTTTTCCATTTCTCCTTGTTCTTCTTTCGAGATTTTGAGCGTTTTTGAGCTGCTGATTTGATTATTACAACTGCTTGATGGTTATTGGCGTTTATTGTTTGGGGGAAGCGATTTCTGTGGATTTTGCGATATAGGTCTTGGTTACGTTTTTAGGATTTCTGCGTTTGTTCGATTGTGTTCTTCTGGTTCTTTCTGGAATTTGAGGAAAACAGGGAAAGAATTTGTTGATTTCGATTAAATTTAGATGTTTCGTGTTTGAACACGGATTTTTTAATTTCTAGGTCAACAAAAGGCGAAGTCAAAATGTTTTTCCCTAATTTATGCACGCCAGTATTGATTTGAATGCTTTGTCGACTAATCCGTGCATGTTTTGATGGTTGTTTTGAATTTGGGATTTCTTTAGCAAGAAATTTAGTGGAAGAGAGGAGGCAGTTGTTGGTAGTGCTTGTGTTTCATTCGTGGTCAGTAAATGGGCTGCGTTCCGTCTAAAGGAAGAAGGCAGTTCCCTGGCTACGAGGATCCTGTTTTCCTTGCTGCACAAACGACCTGTAAGCTCTCTGTTTCACTCAGCTGCGCATTATCTGCAATGTTTGTTTCTTCATAATTGTTCAGAAATTGTACATTTGATAAGATTATCTTCTTAGGATATTGTGAGTAGGGGCTGAGCAAAGGGACCAATTGGCCATTAGTTCTTCTTAGATTCAAAAAAATTTATAAGAAAGCTAGCAACCTAAGGTTTTACTTCCCTAAATTTAAAGGATTCAAAGGTAGAATATAAAATTTTGTTCTCCTTGTGAAAGGGTGAGACTGCACATCGGTTGGGGAGGAGAATGAAGCGTAGGCGTGTGGAAACCTCTTCCTAGTAGACGCGTTTTAAAACCGTGAGGCTAACGGTGATACGTAATGGGCCGAAGCGAACAATATTTACTAGCGGTGGACTGTTACGAATGGTATTAAAGGCAGACACTGGGTGACGTGCCAATGAAGGTTGAGCCCCGAGAAGGGGATGGACATGAGACGGTGTGCCAGCCAAGGACGTTGGGCCTTGAAGGACTGTGGATTGGGAGTCATACATCGATTGGAGAAGGAATGAGTGCCAACGCGCTGGACCTCGAAGGGGGTGGATTGTGAGATCCCACAACGGTTGGGGAGGAGAACGAAACATTCTTTATAAGCGTATGGAAATCTCTCCATAGCAGACGCATTTTATAAAAGGAATTTCAAAAAAGAAAACCCAAAGAGAACAATATCTGCTAGTAGTGGGCTTGGACCGTTATAAAAAGTTTTTTGATCCCCTTTTCATGATGATGGGTTGGAAATTCTCGTCCATGATCCTGTATGATCATGGTTCAAGCTCAGTTTACTCAGAATTGGTTGTTCGGATTCAACACCGAAGAAACAAAGTTCTGTCGTAATGTATCATATCATTAGTACCAAGAGCCGGGACTGAATCAACTTTTTACTATACTTTGAGTTGTTGCATATATTACCATCGAGGGTTGAGTGGCTTATCTAAGAGTTATTTCTACGTTGCATGACCTTGATTCGAATATGATACTATTTCGTTCATATTTCTCTCCTTTTCATGCATCTTTCAGTTAGTGTCAGTGAAGTTGAAGCTTTATTTGAGCTTTTCAAAAGCATCGGCAGTTCAGTAATAGATGAGGGGATAATAAACAAGGTATTCTAACACGATCCCTCATATCTGGATAACCTCGTATGTTTTTCTGCACACGACGGTGATATATCGTTAGAGACATTTATCTTCTTCTTAGATTATGGCTAATTGTGATATAAGCTGAACTCGAGTTATGAAAATCCAAATTTCTATCTGCAGGAAGAATTTGTATTAGCTCTTTTCAAGAACAGGAAGAAAGAAAACCTCTTCGCTAGCCGGGTAATGTTTATGCTGCAAACTAGTTTATTTAGCTATTCAAACAAGTGATCGTTCGAATAATAATAATAAGAATGAACTGCTGTTGTGCTTGTAGATCTTTGATCTATTTGATGTGAAGCATAAAGGAGTTCTTGATTTCGGCGACTTTGTTCGAGCACTCCATATATTCCATCCAAGCGCGCCTTTGGAAGACAAGATAGTTTGTAAGTACAGAAAATATGGTCAAAAACTTGAATATTCCAGAATTTATCAGTTCTTGCGGCTTAGAACTAAATATGTCGTAAATCTTTTGCAGTTTCATTTAAGCTGTATGATTTAGACAATACGGGCTTCATCGAGCGACAAGAGGTATGGAGATAACTTCACTCCCTTGTTCTTTGACCGTGTCACAGCGAGTTACTCGGATGAATTGATTTAGATTTTCTCCGGGTCTTAAATCTCTGATTCGATTGTTTGGGGTCGATCCTGTTTATGTACTTGGATGTTTCATTGTGTAAAGCGATAATGACAGGTTAAGCTAATGTTGTTAGCACTTCTGGGTGAATCTGAAATGAAATTGGCTGATGAAACAATCGAGGCGATACTCGATAAGGTGAGTTGCCACGTCCACTCTTCAAAACTAGACAATATTATTAGACTATCAATCTCGTAACGTGACATGTCGATATAATACTCCACGGTTTCGAGTACTAACGAATCAGCAGAATCATGAAAATCTTTTTTGTACTTTGGCAGACATTTTTGGAAGCTGATACGAACCAAGATGGGAAGATCGACTTGTCGGAGTGGCATTCTTTTGTTTTGAAGAACCCGTCGTTATTAAGGATCATGACACTTCCTTATTTAAGGTAAGGATACATACGAGTGCACGGTTTCCGGTGTTGAACGAAGGAATTGAGACGAGTTTTGTTGTTGAAAATGCAGGGATATAACGACAGCGTTCCCAAGTTTTGTGTTCTATTCGGAGGTTGATGAGGCTGCTGCTTGAAGAAAGTACATAGAAACAGAAGAATTTTAGACATTTTTTCGGAATGTTGTATCCATAGGCTTTGGGAGAAGTCCTTGTCCGAGCATCAAAAAAAATTAGTGTGGGGGCTCGGCTACTTGTAAAGCATCTTTCATGTCTTCTAATTTTGCAGATATTATTTCATTTTAAAAAATATGCATTTTTTTTTTAATTAACTTTTTTTTTCCCAAAAATTAATAATATTCTTAAACTTCCGAAAAATTTGAAAGTTTAAAAATATCCTTAAAACTCTAAAAATGTTCCAACAGCTAGAGTATAATATATATATATATATTGTTACAAACGAGTATAGTTGGAGAAGTTGAGAGAATGAGATAACCAACCAGAAGTGATCTAGTTAGAATGAGTTGATTCGGGATGGGGAGACCAACAAAAGGTGATCTAGAATAAGTTGACAAATAGAAGGTGATATAGGATGAGGTGCCTCGGAACACGCAACCAAAGTGATGTGACCTATAAAAGAGAAAGAGTTGCACATTAGTATGGTGCTTATTGTACATGCACTGATGTTTCAGTTAGACCCGAGAATATTGACCTATATTTCCTATTTTCCTCTCGAATTTGGAATAAGAAGAGAAACAAGCTATCGATATATGAAATGGCATGCCCCTTGAGATGAAGGGATCACCTACCGAGTCGAGTGAGAAATTAGGCTCCCAATTCCTTTGTTTTCGAAGTTTACTTAGGTCTTGGATTATCTTTTGTCATTTATTTTTATGACAGAGGGGCATTTAGGTCATTTCACCTTGGTTTCATCCTAGGTTTCTATTTCTCTCTGTGGGTTTGTGCAACTCCCTTAATTTTCTTGTCTAAATTAGAGACATCACTACATGCATGCCTTTAATAACATAGGCAGAAATTTAAAATAAAATATTTTCAAATGAAACTATGAAATTACATGTTTAATTTATAACAAAAAAATAAAAATAACATAGTATTTGATTACGAAATGAAAAGCCACTTATCAACTACTAAATGGAAATCAATGCATACTACTGTCTTATCTTAACTTTCATGGTCATTCCAGCATTCACCGCCTTCCGTGCAAGGACACTTTACCTTTACCTGAAAAATAAGGGTAGCACATGACTTGAGTATTTTAAAAAATACCTAGTAAGTCAGCCTACTGTTGAGGCTAGTAATGCAATCACACATATAAGAATAGGACATATCCTTTAAAACTGCAACATGACCTTGGACTCTTTCTAGTTTCGGGCAGGGTTGAATGTGTGGTACTTCTCCATGCACGACCTACACACACATGGACCTACCAGACAGGCTTATATACATACCTCTTAGGGCTAGCTTGGTCGGACACCACATAAAAGGAAAGACCCGCATGATAACATGACGATCGAAGATACATGCCCATATTAACATAACATAACACGTAAGTATCTTGATGCACATGACATACATACATGCATGAGTTCCCATGATTTACATTCATAGCAGAGTATTAACATCCTTTCCCTTTCTACTTTCATCCATGACATAGCACATATATACATCATGTATACATGACAGTCATCATATATAGGGGTGTACATTTAACTCGACAATCCGACAACCCAGACCAACCCAACCCGAACTATAAGGGTTGAGTTGTGTTGGATTAGCCTTTTGGGTTGGGTTGAGTTGGGTTGGGTTCATTTTGTTAAACCCGAACTAACTCAGTTTGGTTTTGGGTTCATGGGATAAAACTTCGAGTTGACCCGAACCAAATAAAAATATATAAAATATATTAAGAAGTTAACCGGAATGATAGGTTTGACCTAGTGTTTATTATAGCTCCGATAAGAGTGAGAATTTTTTTTATTGTTTTAGAAATTCTTTTAACACCACCAAAATTTGTCCAAAATATTTTGACTATTTTAATGTTTACTACAAGCGCTGTGAGAGAATTCTTGATTATTTTAAAAAAAATTTAATACCTAAAAGAGTAATAGAAAATTGGATCCATAAAAAATTAGTTTTAATTGATTTAAAGATTTTGTTATAAAATTGAGAATTTTTTTTAATATATTTATTATTTATTTAATATTTTTAATATATTTATTATTTATTTATTCCAACATTATTATATATATTTCTCCATTTTTATAATAGTTTAGGCTTATTTCCATTAAAATATTTTTATAATAAAGATATTTTTTTATTTTTGTTATATATATAGTATCTTTAAACAAATTCTTTGTTGTTTTTTAATTTTATGATCTATTCTTGTATTTTTAACAAATTCTCATCAAATGTCGATATTTTAGTTGTTTTTAGTTTTATGACAATGTTGAACTACGTGAATATGTTACCATTTTCGCTCCTTATTCTCGATTGATTTTTTTGTGGGAATAATTATGGATTGATTGGTGAACTTTTTAATTATGTTTTATCTAAGATTGTATCCGAATAATTATAAAGGATAAATAAAAAAATAATTTTTTTTACAATAAGTCAACCTAACCCAAACCCAACCTGAAAATTTTCGGGTTGGGTTGGATTACCAATCCAACCAACCCGAACTTTTGAGTTGGGTAAAAAAAAAAAAAATCGCTCAATCCAACCCAACCCAAACCATGTACCCCTAATCATATATCTTTACATGGCAAGACATAATATGTGACATATATAGTGTTTCATTTCATTCATAACATGACGAAATGGATATCACATGCATACATAACATCACATCATATGTCATTATATAAAACACATACATAATACAAATAGTCACAAAACATGCACCATCATACATCATTCAATTATCTAAAATTTCGAACGTCAATTATTTGTAATCCATATAATATTTGGAAAAAAAAAAATCCAGCTATGAGTCAACATTTTTTGGATTCAAAAAGTGTTGGTAAGGAGGATCTTTCCTCTTTTTTTATTGGGTTGTTTTGCTTTTTAGTTGTCCACTCCATTATTTGCTTTATTCATTGTTTTTGCCTATTTTTGTCCTCAACCATGTTGGAATGTTTTTTTTTTCTTCATTTATATATTTATTTGCTTCATGTTTCTTAATTTAAGTTCATTCTACGACCTTAGTTTTTGGCCACGACATAAGGTGGCGGTGCACGAGTCGGTGTCGATGGTAGTCGAGAGAAGGGAAGAAAAATTAATTAAAAAATTAGAAAAAATATTTTTATAGCTGATTCAGTAGGTTCAATCTTCTGTGATCTTGACCAAATAAGGAGCGTCTCACAAAAGGATAAGCAGATGAATAGTTCTCAAGTGTTGATTTTAAGAGTTGCATAATGAGTCACATGCTCAAGTGACTTTGAGTGTTGTTGTCTTGAAAACATCTTAGGATTCTCATAGGGGTATTTTGGTCATTTACTACCCCAAATCTTGGTTTAAACCCTTGGCATATTCAAATGGATTTGTAACTTTGTATAATCTGTTTAAACCATGACATAAGGCTCCTCATCAAATTTCATGTCATTTAGAGGTCACTTTTGTAATGGCTCTAAATTTTCTACTTAACCTAAGGTCGCTACTGTATACATATCATGGACATTTAATGCAGAATTGTGTATGGACACCTTATAATAATATCAACCTTCCTACTTTATTTCATGCTTTTGAATAAAACTAATAGAAAAGAAATAAAACAAAAAACAATACAAAATGAAATGCCCTATACTAATCTACCTGCTACTAAATAGAAATGACATATAGTCTACTACAAATTAAATGTGAATCTATCCTAAGCATGTGTCACCATCTTAGGAATTGTGATGCTACCGTTAGCCTTACAGGGTCGCCTTGCCTTTACTTGAAAAATATAATAGCACGTGGCTTGAGTATTTTAAGAAATACTCAGTAAACGACCCTCTATCGGAGTTATAATGCAAAGACATACAAATGCATGCATGAGACCTATCATAATAGTATGTTTTCCTACCGAGGCTATCCTAACGAGCAACTTGAATGTGTAATTAATTTCCTACATACGACTCACACGTGCAAGTATGGACCCACAAGTCAGTTCGCACAATTCCTAAGCCACTTTCTGGTTTGGTGAGCATACAGTGGGAGCTGTTGATGTCAGACACTCGTTAGAAGTAGGGACCATCATAGCAGAACTATGTCAAACATAATGATCGTTTCCCCTGCCTATCGTGAAGGAATAAGGGTATACCCCGTTGCATGAGCACGCAATAATGCATGAGGTTCTTAAATCTTTCTATTTTAATTATCCTTAATACAACCTCGCTAACATATTTTTCATATCATAACGTTTTTCATAATATTTTTCATATTTTCATAACATTTATATATAATTGATTATAACTGTCATGCATACGTTGGAGTTGTATTTCATGCTATTTGTTGTTTTCATGTCAATCATATCATATCATTTATGTAATTTATAAGTCATATTGTAACATTTTCATGCTATCATAATTATGGTCAAAAATAGGTTCGGGAGGGTCGTAACGAAGGAAATTAGGCTAAAAATGGAATTATGAGCCGATAAACCGAGAATTGAGCTATGGAGCCAGCCAAGACATCTGAGTTGTCTAAGCCGATGATGTGTTGCGTTGCAGGTGTGCCACAATCATAAATTTAAGGTAGTCATACTATCCTTTAACGCTTTTGTCTAAGCCGATGATGTGTTGCGTTGCGTTGCAGGTGTGCCACAATCATAAATTTAAGGTAGTCATACTATCCTTTAATGCTTCCGACAAAATCAGCTAAAATATTGCCCTCGAGCGATCAAAAAGCGTGTTTTCCAACTGGCTCAAACCGTTGAAGTGGGATGAAAAGGACCTCCCTTTTCTTGGGAGACCAACTCCCCACTTCTCAACGTGGACAATGTGGTAATTTTCCTTCCTTTTATCCCCTCATTTTTGGGTTATCATAGTCCATTATAGTCATTTTTAAATTGATCAAAATATTATATTTTTTAGTGTCTGTCTACATCATAGTTCGTGAATCGAAACCTCAAAAATCAGATCGTGACAATTGTCTCGTACCAT